GTGAAGGTAGTTGTAACACGCGACCATTTTTCAGTAAAATGAAGTATTTTAATAAGTTTTATCTTCAATATTTATTATTAAAATATACAAGTTAGGCTCTTGGCAAAGAATCAACGTGTGGTAGGATATTATTCAAAGTTTTAACACGGCAATTAAAGGCATTTGAAGAATATAAACGTATATTCTGTTTTAGTCATTAATTGCTGGTGTTGAGTAAATTAATAAGACGATTAACATTTACTAAGTATGAATATAATGTCTGATTAAAGTTATAGAAATCGTCGTCTAAAAAACAACGCCGCCTAACTCACATTTTGGTAAATATGAGTTGATAACACCATTTTATGTAAAATTTTACATAGAAACGAATGGCAAATTCAGATTTTCGCTAAAATTAATACATATCGCATTAATTAAATAATATAAATTCATGACCGGTACTATTAATTTTACGAAACAAGATTTTTTTCTCTAGTGTAAAATTACAAAAATGATATTAGTGATGTTGCTTCAAAAGTAACGAAATGATGAAACTATGGCCGGAAATTTTATTTAAAATTAGGGGGCTAAGTACTTATATTTCCACCAATGGAGGAAACAAACTTTTGTGAAAGTAAGATTTGTAATGATTTAGGAGAAAAAATCATTATTGATTACCCAGAAAAATAATTATTGTAAAAACTAGTTTTAATATATAGTATAAACAGGGCCATCAGAAGAACAAAATCACCATTAAACTTGCCTAGGGCCTTGCGCTTAAAATAGCATCACGGGCATTAATAAAAAGCAAAAGATTGTCTTTTTTTCCTAAATAAAAAATGTTAAATGACTCCGCGATAACGTTTTTGCATTGTACCCCACAACATTTAAAAGCGATACTGCCTATAATATAATAAGTTAAAGCTAATTTAATCGAAATGCATCTATGACTTATTTAATTTTATTATTGACAATAAATAAATTAATTGTTACAGATTAATTTGAACGAGATAAATTGGAATTATTATATTTTAATGTTGTTAAAACTTACTATTTATAGTTCATAAATAATGAGTTTTTAACATATTTTAATAAAATTTACAAGATATTAGATTAAAAATTTTTGGCCATTGTAAATTTCACATAAAATAGATTACACAAGCACCAACACCAAAATGATGAAAATTACATTTAATTTATAATGGTATACTATTTAAGAGGGGAATAAATTAATTTAGATCTCATGAACATTTTATTGATATTGCACTTATAAATATATATATATATATATATTATAAATTACAGTTAATTGATTTAAGTAAAATTGTAACCTATAAACTAAATGTAATTTTTAATGTGATTAAAGAAAAATAATTTTAATAAAAGACAATTAAATATTAAGCGTCCGCAAAATATGTTTTTCTTGTTACAATTATAGGTATAAGTAAATATTTTGTTCAAAAAAATGTTTAAGATATTTTTATATTATATCCGAGTAGTAAACGAATATGAGGGTGAATATAGGTTACATAACTCTGGTATCCATTCACTATCACTTAGTTATCAAGAAAATTTATTTTTAACCTCTGTAAGAAAAATTTATCTATAAAATAATTACTGAAGAAATTAAATGTACAAAATGTGTATATTTTTAGAGTATTATTTAAAAACATAGGCGTATATTGTGGAAAGGCTAAGGGGAGTTAACCCTCGCTGAACTTACCTTAGCTCCCAAAATTCAGGACACATATTTTAAAAATATTTTATAAAAACAATTTTTAGTTCTGTTTAAAATATAGACATAGTAATTACTTTGTATGTCTTATTTATTACTATGTCTATGGTTTAAGTTTTATATAAGTGTTCAAAAAGTAAAGAGAAATGTGTCTATTGTGCCCATTGTTTATATATAAAAAAATTATAAAAATGTAAAAACATCCTTACCAAACGTTCGCTGTTGCATATAAATATAAATTATCACTATGTCTAACTGTTGATTAAATTTTTTTGATCTACATGACCAACTTCCACAAAAAGTAGCTTACTAAAGAGGATATTAAAATAATTTTTTTTTATAGGGTTTTGTTGCTATACGTAGTTTTTTTTGCCGAAAACCCCTTTTATATACTACTAGATTCATGCAACAACGTTACACATTATTTATTAATCGTAATTTGCTAAAAGAATACTGTGTATTCATTTAACTTTTCAGGGGAGATGACAAACTAATTTTTTTTCACTGATTTGAAATTTAAGACCTATGATCATAATTTTAAATAAATATTATTATTTAAAAAAAAAAAAGAATATTTATATTTCTACTTTTTATATTCTTTATTATTTTTCTGTATTCTCGTTATAAAAGAAATACAAAAATAATAAAGAATATGAGATAAATTTAATATAAATCTATACATTTAAAAAAAATTCCATAAATAATTCTCGTATATAATTTAAAAATATGCATTAAAACATTGAAAATGTATTTTTACACGACGAAAAAAATAACTTAGAACTCGATTGCCTCAAGATTATTAATTCAGTTGTACAATTTACATTTTAAGAGTCTAATTCGTAGGCATAATATGAGCAAAATGTTTTGGAGGTCTAATTGAAATTTTTCCCACCTTAAAAATTTTCTTGATAAAAAAATACATGCTATTTTCATCATTTTTGAGAGAGCTAAGCCTCTTCTAGACCTTTCAAAATACGCCTATGACGTTATTATATAAGAAATGTCTTATCCAGGAACCAAGGAAGCACGCCCCTCTTAACAACAATATTCTTCTCTAAAATGTAAACTCCATTCTCCTCCTAAAAATATGAGATTTTGTAGATTTGTTTACTATAGCCCCCTATTATGAAATTATGGCTATGGCACAATTTTATAATTTATAAGTATAAGTACAATATAATAATATTTTTACGAGTATTATAATTAAAGATGATGATGTGATACAGTACAATGTATAATATTACAGCTTATACGTTTATGAATGTATCAAGTAAATTACAACAAATGTCTTTTTTAACGAATATACTGTTTTTAATTAGGTAAATGCTATACAAATTATGTTATTTGAGAAAACATATCTGAAACTTAGAATAAAAAATGAACAATTAACATTAATGTTTCTTCTAGTTAAAATGAAATCTTTTAGACTTTTTATTTTAATAATAATTTTATTAGACTTTGTTTTTCTTAATTTTCATTTTTAATCATATGTCTAATATCTTAAATTGATAAGACTACGATTAAAAAAATTTATATTTTTAAAAATACTTTACAAAAGTTTTGAGTAAAATAGCTTAAAACTCCTTAGCTTCACTAGTATAATATATTTTTTTACATTTTCCGTAATTAAAATTCTTCTACATTATATATATTTCCGTACCCATGATATCGTATTTATTTTATTTTTAGTTATAATGAATCATGATCTATATTGTAAGACATTTTCAACTAAAACAATTAAATAAATATAATTTTTCTGTTTCTTAAAGATAAATAAAATGTATTCAGGCGTCTTTCGTTAAAATAATATACACGTTAGCTCTATATTTGAGATTTTAATACGTTATTATTTTTTTTTAACTATTGAAAAATGGTATAAAAATATTTTTATACCTAATTTGTCTTTAACTTTAATACAATAAAATTAAAAAAATGTTGTTTTTTTAGTAGGATTTTTTTGTAAAGATTATTTACAGATTTAAACAATTATTGTATTGCAGTGGCTTTCTCCAATAAAATCATTATAAACAATTAATACTCTTGATTGTTAAATAAGCAACGGTAAACTCAAAGTATTTCCCAAACTCGTTTTTATAATAAAATATTTGGTTACATTAAAAATCTTCAGACTCTTTTTATAGGAGGGGAGTGAAAATGTCGATAGCTATATTTGTTTAGATGGTATATCTTAGTTTAGTTTACTTGAAAAATATAGTTTTTATATTGTAACATTAAATTAACAAAAAATCATAGATTCTACTTTGTTTATGTTTTTTTTTAAAACTAGTAATATTATAAGTTAGTTTTATTTTATTTGTAGATGATTGGGTGATTAACTTTTAACTCTCTCTTCTTCTATAAATCAATACATATGAATCGAATTTATTTAATTTAAAAACTTGAATACTATGTAAAATAGCGTAATTCATTTAAAAATCTTGTAGAAGTATGTATCGAATCAACAATAATAATAGTATTATTATTATGTATAACATTACGATCAAAAGCTCACATCTTCGAATAATTTATAAATCATCAACAAAATCAAATTCTTTAGAAATTCAATTCAATTTCCACAACAATATTTTCGCATTTGATTGTATCGATATTATTTGTTACCATGAGTGTCTTCCTAGTAATGGCTTCTTAAAGGTCTACCTGCTGATGATGTTTGCTACTACCTCTTGACGACTGGCGTCTATACCTACTGGGATATATAAGTAATTCGACCTGGTGGATAATAGGTAGAATTTTTGCCCTAAATATAAAATATCTAAGCAAAGGCGGACTAAGAAGCTAACGGCCCAGGAGGCACAATAATTATGGTGGCCCAGCTCGCTTCAAAAAATATTTGTATCACTACAAATATTATTCTGCATTATATAAAAAGAAACGATTAGTAAAAAAAAAAAAAAAGGATTTAATATCAACTTTTCAAACCGGAATACGTTAAACATAGCGGCCCCCATTGCTCTATTGAAAAAATGCATAAAAAATTTTGATAATATAAATTATTTGAATAGTTAAAAATAAAAATGTACTAAAAAATACTACTTTTTAATATGTTATTGTTAAATTAAAATTTTTTTCATTCAAAATTAGTGATAACTTTAATTTTCTTTAAATATGTAAAGAATGGAACACGAGTCGAATACAATTTTTTTTTTGGATAAATTCAAATAATTATTATTATCAAACAATTCATTGTTTTGTATTCTGTTTACAATAAGTATTTATACTGTCTTAACATTATTTATAATAAATAAAATTATTGTATAATACTCACATTTATAGGTTTAACATTTTCTAAATAAAAAAAGGTTCAAACTTTTACAAAAAAATATACATATACATAAATAAAACACAGTCACTACAAATAAAATAATTAAACTCAATATTTTACACAGTAGAAAAAAACACAGTTATTATAAATTTCACTGGCATCGATAAATATTTAAAAATTATTCGACACAAACCAACGCACAAGAAATAAGAAAATACAGATTCGCACTGTAATTTTGAACTGCGGCGCGTGAAGCAAGAATGAACGAAGTTGAACCGGCGCCGATTACCGGCCACCCGTTCGACACCCCACCAATACCATTTTATGTACGTGATGATTTCTAACATGGGGACAATTTTTTATTCCTTGCATTCATTACATTACCATGTATTTTTATTAAGTACATAATTTATACGTGTACACTCTCTATAGACACACACCATATAAACGAATGAATTTAATTCACAAAATTGGACTAGTCCAGTGATATAATTCTGTTGGAGAGACTCAGCTATATTGAGGCAAATAATTGAGAAAAACTGTTTAAAACATCTTATATTGAATTTTGGAAGGTACTTAATAGAAGGCTTTCAATGATAAATGTTTTTACAAAGAATAAAAAGACATTTTTAATTTTCATCATTATCTGATAGCCTAGTAAATTTCTATTTTGGCATGTTCTCAGATTGCAATTATGGTTGAAAAAAACGCTAAATTTAATAAGAAAACTATATAAATTATTAAACAAGAATATAAAAAATATATTTTATGGGTCTTAAATAATGTATATGTTTTAAATATATAATTCATCAATTTATGAATATTGTATGTATTATTATATAAATTTGTATAGCTATTGTAGAATTTGACTTTTTTTTTTACTATATTCTATGTAGTGGTGGTTTAATCCAGGGTGCTCAAGTGCAATTGCATTTAGAGTCACGACTAAAAAAATATATAAAAAATTGAAATTTTTATCCAAGAGCGCCGTATTGTTCATAATTTTATGGGTAATTTCAATTGACTATAATAATCACATTATATACTTACACACAGTTACATCTCAGAATTTTTACCGGTAAAGAGGTTTAAATAAGAAAAATTATCCAATCTCCACTTCTGAGATTATAATTTCTATAATTTTACAATTATTTTTTTGAAATTGTTCAACTAAATTCACCAAAAATTCTATAGAAGTACTATAATTATTACATAAATAAAATAACACACATGAGATTCTTTAATTGTAGAGATTCTTACGTAAACAAATATTCTTTAAGTGCGTTAAAAATTGTTGATCAGGTTCTATAGTGAAAAAATATTTTTCTAGCTGTGCTCGATTAGTACCAAAAGTAATTCAATCAAATGATAGAATAAATAAGCAATAAAAACGTAATATGTTCATTATTAATAGCAGGACCTAAAATACAACCGGCTTCGTGGGACATATTTTTTAATTCAATTATAGCGTTCATCAGCAACATCAACAACCAAAAATATTTTCCAAAAAGGATATTTGATGTTTTGAACTATTTCAATTATATTTTTATACTAAAATAATACAATTTTTTATCAATCGACTTAAAAGTTTAGTAAAGTGTTATTTCTATAAGGGTAAAGGGATTTACTCTTCCTATAATTTTAAATATTTCTACTCGGCTTTACGTTATTGCGACAAAGTTGCACAAACTTGTGACCATTCGAAATGTCTCAAACAAAATTTATAAATACATATACTTCCGAAATGAAGATGTGTGAGCTTAGGATCACAATGTGTAAAACAACATCAATTTCAAAAAACAGTGGCAAATGTGCTTTTATATGTTTAAATTTCATAATTTAATATTACACTAGAAGCTTATTTCAAGTCGTCTAATATGATCTAGTGATTTATAAAAATCATGTTTACCATTATTCATGAAAAACGCTTATGATAATTCAAACTATTTAATATTATATAGTTTAGGCCTTATGAATACAGGGTTGTTATACTTTTACAACCTAATGGTTTTATTAAAACTATACTATACTAATTAAAGCCTAAAAAAATAATATGCAAGTATCTATAGGTTTAAATTAATATAATTGATTTCGTAAAAAAAATGTATAAGCCTTATGTTTATTACTATTATTTTATTTTATTTTTTTAAGAAAACATACGAGTCTAATTTTAAGAAAAAAAATAATATCCAGTTTTAGTTTTGATATAAGAGTGTACATTAAATAATAAAAATTGAATTCGAAAATTATATTTTACCGGCATGTAATACCATAATAGTAATTATATATTTAAGACGACGCGGGGTAAATGTGAACGAATGGATTAATTGTAAAATTTTATTCTTTTAAAATGTTTAATAGATTTTTTTTTAATTAAAAAATATTGATACATATATGTGTTGTAATTAAATTAGATGTAATTTTGAAATAAAAACTTGTGAATTTGTTTAAAAAATATATTTACAATAACTTAACTTCATCCTGTAGAATAATTTATTTTAAACAGATATTTCATATACTTTTAATTCCAAAATAGTCAATGTGATGTTGTAAGCCATCATTAATGCAAAATAAAACTATTCAAGTTTTAATAATTTATCCAATTTTATTAAAGTCATATTAAAGTGTTTTTTCGTTTTATATGCAGCGGTTAAGTGTACGTAAATTCAACGTTATCCTTAGTTTGCATAAAATTATCACAGATAATGTAATTAATGACAATAAATCTAGAAACAATTCAACCCAACCAAATCATGTTGAAAGACCTCCCGTCAGTGCAATACATACACATAGTAGGCACATTCAAAAACCAGTTTTTGATTTTACTTGATTTCTTCCATTTTTATAAAGGATGAAAAGTATTTTTGATGTGTTAACAGATTATAAAAAAATGTATGATAAATATTTGTTATACACTATTTGTTTTTAATTTTTGTATTTTATTCTATCTTAGATTTATATTATTCATTTTACATTATTTATATTATTATTATTAGTTCCAAATTATTGAACAATGAGATTAACGACTCTTACATATTAGGCCAATTAAATTTCAAAATTAATAATTACTGCACTCAAAAGAATGATTTAATTTATATACCTTTATAATTTTATAATACTATAATATTTTATAATTTGAATTGTATTATATTGTATTGAATTATATATATATTGTTATTATTAAATTATTGTAAATTGGACATTTGTCCGCGGAAATAAATAAATAAATAAATTATACCGAAAAACAAATGATTAGGATAACATTTAGGAATTCTGCTCTAGTGATATAGTATTGTACCAATTTTTTACGAAAAAATGTATTTAATTCATGAATTTACACGTGCAAGCGGTAACTTCAAGGTGAACATTTTTTCAATGCCATTTCCAAACTTGTTATCCAGGGCGCATGTACCCAATGTTTTCCTCAAAATGAGGCCGTGATTGTAGAATTATATAAATTTAATTTTATAAATTAAAGGTAGTGATGGGAAATTTTGATTTTATATTCAATAGTAACTATTGAACTGTACAATAGTAAAAATATTCGAATAGCGTTGGATTATTCGATAGTTTTTATATGTTTGATAGTTAATTATAAAAATAAATTATTGAGTTGCATAAAAAATTATTCCATAGTAATAGGCATTCGAAAATGCCTATTACTAATTTAAGCGTTGAAACGGAAATATTTAGGAACTACCACAAATCATACAACTAGTAAATTTACGAAGGAATAAATCGAATGTCTATTAATTGTTAATACCAGCTAAGTATGTGTTAATCATTATTTTTATGAAATTAGGTAATTATTTGAAGTTGATTTAATAAATGATTATTTTTTTTTTTGACTAAGTAGTATAAATTAGCTCAATAATTATGCCCATCAGCAAACATCAACATTCTATTTAATGTCATTGCATTAAACATTTTATAAGTTGTCATTATTATTCACCATAAACTAATCTAATAAATAATAGTCACAATTTTACTATCTTGATATAAACTATATTATATGACATCGTTTCTATTTTCAATCCATTATAAATTAGTTAAAACCTACCATTTATTAAAAATAGTGATTTTGAATGTTAACATAGACAAACTAATAATTAGTAGTGATATCTTTACAACTTCATTTTAACACTTAGAATAATAGATAAGTTATAGGAATATAGACTACAAGATTTTGTCTAGGGTGGGAGGATAATATGTATTAAAAAAGTATTGCTATCCCTCCAAAATATATTTTCACTATGTACATGTATTTATTTTTGATATGGGAGATCTATCCCCCATAAGTACAAACGTAATATTCGCAATATCATAAATGCAAAATTTATTGTTATAAAAAGGTACATCTTTCATTAGCTAGCATCTAAATTTTAATTTATTGTTTTATTTTTAACAGAGCGTATAAAACAACAATACAGAAACTAGGGGCAACATAATGGTATTCATAACCATATCTGTGATTACTTTTATAAATCCATATCTAACCTAAAAAAATTATTAATGAATCTAAATCATGCAATTTATACAAAACTTGAGGATTTATTCTAAATACTAACGTTTTAATACAAATTTATTATATCATAAAATATTTTTATTAAATTTGATTGATGTGAATAGTTTATTTTTATTAGATATTTAAATAAAATTCAAGAATATCCACTTTCCCTTTGTAAATAGGTTTTATTTTAAATCAAATTAGTATAATAAAGTAATGTGTAAAATTTGTTAACAAATGATATAGAAAATGTTTTTTCTGAAAATGATCAATATTAATGTTTGGTTTAAGTTCAAATATAAAGTTGAAAGTTCAGTTTGATTTCAAAAATTGGGATTCGTAACATCACTAAAAAAACCACTCACGTAAAATTTGCTGAAGTAATAAGCATGTGCAAAATAAAAATATGTCAGAAAAATTAGTGAAATAGTTTTTTCTATTTTATTTGTAATTTAATGTCCAATTAAATTATTAATAATCCAACTTCTACCTATAAACATTTTAAATAAATCTTACTTTTCAATAAATAATTTAATGCTTGACCTCAAAATAACGTATACACGTAAAACTAGCTTCAAGAATAATATCTAGGTATCGAATTCAACATTACTGTAAATCGCAGGTATAAAATTAGCGGTATTCATATGATAATCTGTCATGTATTGGAACGACCTACGAAATTTTACTTTAAATGTGTTATCATTTTTGGTTCCTATAAAATACTAACAAAATAATAATAGATGGGTTATTATTATTATGTATATTTTTGATACACTAGTATTTAAAAAATATTACGTTAGTGGTAAGGTAATGTTTTTATATTTAATTTGAAGGTTACAATTTTTTCCATTTTGGTTACTCAGTGTTACATTAATCATGTTTACTGTATATATTTGCGGAAATTTGCCAACGTTTCAGAGGGGCTAGAATTAATCACCAGAGCTGCTCGCGAATACATTCTACTTTTCATAGTGCTTATCCTATTTATATATATTAAAAAGGTCGCTAGTGATGTTAGTCTTTGATGATAAGTGTGAAACAAGCATACGCGTACTATAGGGTAGCAAATAAGATATTTTGGTAGAAAATCAATTGATGTAAAAAAAAAAAACAATTAAAGTAATAAAATGCTACTATCTATCAGATTGCCAACGACCGCAATTTGCTACAAATATCGCATAATACAAATTTGATGTTGTCTTATTATTGTGACTGAGTTATAGTAATATTCAATGAATATAATAAATTTTATATTATTTTTAATTAAAAAAATGTTTTAAATAATATTCAATTTTCAATAATCAAACAGTACATAAATTTATTCTATGCATAAATATTCTAGGGGGGGGGCTAAATTTCCTTAATCCTCCTCGATTTCCTTTTATGACTGTATGTATTGCGTAAAGGTAAATAGAATAAAATATTTGTAGGAATTAAATTTTATTTTATTCCCCCTTAAAGTATTTTAGTATAACAATACTTAAATAAAATAAATAAATTTGCAAAGTTTATCTTTAAATTTAAAATACAAAAAAAATCAAAGAAGTTTTTAGTAATTCATACTAAAAAACTAAGAATAGAGTACTCAAAGAAATATACGTTTCTTTAAAATACAAGTTGATAAACAAAAAAACAATGATGGTATTGGACATGAAATTTAGTGGCAAGGCGACAGACTAGAATTCAATAATTCGACATGCAAATATTTTCACAAAACGATTGTGACGTTATTTGCCACGGATTTTTAACTGAGCATTACCAACCACGCTGTCCATCACTATTACAATCAATTAGACATCTTTAAAATAAATTATTAAATATAACTGTGTAATAATTAGTAATGCCTTAAATTATTTTTTCTCTTCTATATTTATAGTTATAAATATAATTAATCTTAACAATCCAAAAATATTTAAAATAACTTACAATATCAGTAAAAATATTTGTATACTTACATAAGTATCTCACGTATAAGTCATACATAATATTAGAAAATATTTGTAACTTATAGAAACAATGATAATTCGAATCCTGGTGTAAAGCGTTATGTACTGCTGAATAGAATATTTGACGAGATCAACGAAATATTTTTAATTTTGGCCTGAAATTTGCTGAACAGGCCACCCAACACGCACGCGTCACCGCCCGTGGTAACACTGAAGGGCCGTATGTATATGTGTGATTGTGTGTGTATGCATATAAAATCTCACCTAATGTTGAATATAAAAATACGTTACCATAACTATCTACGACAAGAATCTTTATCAATTTATCGAATATTTATCAAGAATTTTTTCGTGAGTGTAATTTGTATTATAATGAAAAGTTTATTGTGATTGTTAACTTTATAAGCGTCAACTCGATCACATTTTGCACTTTTGAACGTTAAATAAAGATTTATTGTAGGATAATCATCAGTAATGTAATGATTACAGCAGGGCGGCTAACATGGAAAAATAGGTATTTTGAATGACCCACTAAAAGTTATAAATTGACTATGCCTAACAATTGAAATTTAAAAGTTATGAATTGCCATCAAATTTTGAGCGGTGCCTGTAATGCAGGTGATCGTTGCTTTGCTGTTGGTAGTGTAGAAGGCGTGCCTTTTACAGTAAGTTTGAAAATTATAATTCTTGCTAGTAAATTTTAATTAAACATATTTTTCATTAGGCTTATGCTGCCGGGTGCAATATTGTTATTTTAGCCAGCACCTTCGAACGAGTACAAATTATACCTGGTGCAATTCATAATTATATACGCATTAGTTGCCTTGATTGTTCTACTGATACTGGCAAAATAGCGGCAGCGTATGATAATCAGATATGCGTGTTTGAACCTACACCACTAGTTTGCAAAAATTCACCTCATGTATGTTTTTCAAAATTATTAATATTGTTAAATATGCTATTGGGTTTAAAATTCATCTTGAATCTGATGTTATTAGTTATAAATAAATCATTCATAATAATCAAACATAATTTATGTAGCAGATATTATATTTTTTAATTGAACCACCAATTGAAATGAAAAGAAAAATTATTAAATACTTTTACATTTGTAACAATTTTTATCAGTACCATATAATGTTTTAATTTCTTTTACTGTATATTTATTTGTAAACTGAATAACTAAAATAATTTTTATTAATAACTATAGTTAAGTTTTTAATGGTGTTTTAAATATAGCAATTGGACTATAAATGGGTAGAAACAGCTAGTTGGCAAACTGCATGTCGAATTAGTTGTTTATCCTGGAATTTAGAAGGTACTCGTCTATTAACAGGAGGTATAATTTTACAACTATGGCATCAACAACTTCCTGATGGACCATTAGATGAACATACTGGTAATTTTTATTTTTGAATTTTAATATATTTAAATATGTATTTAGATTCAATAGACTTATAGACTTGTGTCATTGGTATTAATGTATACTTAAAACTATTTTTATTGCTAATTGTTAGGAATGACAAGTGATGGAGTTACCTTTGAAATTGGCGAAGAAGCAATACCTATATCAACTACGGCCTCTGATTGTAATGGTATACGAGGTTGGGAATGTGTGTGGCAAAAAGAAACAGCTACACCAGTTGTTCATATTGCATTTTCTCCTGATGGAACTTTATTTGCCACAGCTGGCAAAGATGATAGGCTAGTCAAAATTTGGTTTGAAAATAAACAATGTTAGTTCATTAATATTTAATTAAAAATTGTATAATTTTGTATTTCATATTGTTAATTACAACATAAATTATAAATCATATAATTTTACAAAATAATTTGAAATATATAACATTATTTATTTATTTTTTTTAGTACTTTTTCCATCAAAAAGTGTAGATCAAAATTATTCTATGAGTGCCATTTCTAATTTTGGTGAACCAAATTATGGTTTTGTATATATAGCTCACCCACGAGCAGTAACTCAACTTTCTTGGAGAAAAACTAGCAAATATATGCCAAAGTAAACTTTAATTATTACAAAAATGACTAAAAAATAATTTTTCTCATAACATTTATGTATATTTTTAGAGGTTCTGTGTCAAACATGTTAGTAACATCATGTAGAGATAATATTTGTCGTCTTTGGTCAGAAACTGTTTTACCAGATGATGGTCTAGTAAATATGAGTCATTTTGATCCACTAGCTGCCCACAATCCTAGGTTTAGAACTCATAGACATAAGCATAGACTTCTTCAACGTCTTAAACATATGAAGTAATTATATTCATTGTAGTTAAAACAAAATGTTTTGAACTTTTTTGTTAAAATTCTTTTTTTTCTAGAGCTTGTTTTCACATTCGTAGACATGCCAAACACCAAGGGGAAATTGGTACAGGATTAGCAGGAAGTACAAGTTCAACAATACCAACATTGCCTTCTACATTTAGTGTACATGATTTCCATAGTTATGGTTTCCATGGTACAGGTATTATTCCTGGGCTTCACTTTCATTTAGCTGCCAGTATAAATGCAGAAACAGGTATATATATTGTAAAAATTATTGTATGGGTTAAATAACATACATTTCAATAAAAAATAAATAAATATACATTTATGTATCTATGTGGCTAATTTATACATTACTATGGTTTAAGCAATTGTGTTTTAATATGGGTTGATTTTGTTATTTAAAACACCTAATTACTTATAAAATCAACATTTTATTCAGAATTTTTTTTTTCAGTTCTTTTAATTATATATATACATATTAGTTAATGTATAGCAGAGAAGTTATTTATTTCACTTAACCGTGATTTTTTTTTTTTTTATTGTGTCTTTATAGTCATTACTTTTACTTCTACCAAACCAATTTTGTTTTACAATACGCTAAAAGGGCACAAAATATATCTAGTTAAAACTATCTGTGCCATTATTTTTAAAGATTCTCCCAGTCTAAATAAAAGAGTAATAAAGAGAAATGCGCCCAAAAAGTTAGTTTTTATGAAAACAATTAATGTTGATATTTATATTTTTACTTTATATTTCAATAACTTTTTGAAAACTGAACGGATTGCAAAATTTTTATTGATAATACTTCAAAAAAATGTTTTGCTAACAATATGTTTTTTATTGAATATCCAACCATTAATCAATGTTCTGTGATATCAATTTTTTTTTTTTAATTTTTTATAATGTTTAAAAAAATATACGCATACCAATGGATTATCTACACTATTTAGAGATAAATAAAATTTGAGGTTTGAAAAAAGATGTTTCAATAACTCGTCTTTTATGAGTAATCAACCTATGAAATCGACAATAATGTAATTTTATGTACATATGTTAAACTTTTTTTTAATATATTCTAATATGCATCAAAATGTTTTATGACGGTGATTTTAATCACTTTCGGATATCAATCAATACTTATCCTCTATATGTTTTTGAAATAATGTTTGACTACTAACTATTATTTTTAATATTTATTGTTATTAGATATTCCATTAGTACCTAGTTTGTCAACTACTGATCCTGAAAGAGAGCCAAACTTTGTTTTGCATTGGCTCAATAATAAAGAGATGCATTTTTCACTTCAAGCTGAAGCAATTTTAAATGTATGTTTTTTTAATTACACTTTTAAATTAATAATCTTATTACATTACTGTATTATAAAAATGAATTATTACTTAGGAGCTTACTAAAAAAGTAGTAGAAAAAGATGATATACTCATAAATGATAATTATGTGATGTCTGAACATCATGATGTTGAATATAATGATGCAAGACGTCGACATAACAAACTTGGTAAAGGAGTGTCACAGGAAGAAAGTGTTAGTGATGAACATAGCTATCCATCAAGCCATCCAACTCTAAGGTAACATTTTAGTAAAACTAAATTGTTATAACTATATAAAATTTTGTCTTTATATATATTTATCTTAAATTAATTTTTTATAGCAATACGACATCTGTAAACTCTTTTACAACTGACATAAATCATATGGCTACTGATTCTTTGGATAATAAAATTGAGTGTCTTCTAAGAGATTGGCATCATAGTCCAGATTTATTGTTTGCTGTTCATCCTATTGATGGAAGTTACTTAATTTGGGTTGTTGACTGGCTAGATGAATATCACCCTGGTTCATTTCGACAAGCACAAGTTTCTTTTTCAACTAGAATACCAAATGCTTTTCCTCTTGGAGATGCAACAACTATGTCACACAATGTATGTCTTTATCACACATCTGGATCAAGTTTGCAACTAGCTTTCAGAGATGTTGTTAAAACTGCTGCTGCTGCACCTAGTAGATCCCCGAGTGATGCTCATGGTTGGTAAAAATCATATTGACAAAATAAAATGTTTAAAAATTCTACTGTTTTAATGGTTATTATTAATTTTATAAAGCAGCTAATGGTGAATATGGTGAATCAAGTCTTCCTAGAGTTCTAGAAGAAGATAGTGATTCAATAGGTGATAATAATGACTTACATAATCAAAATGATGAGCCATCATTATTGACCGAAAATGGAAAACAAGGAAGAACTACACCATCTACTGGAGAAGACTCTGGAACATTCAATGATATAATATCTGCTCCACCTTGTCCTACTTTATCGATGGTTACTAAACATACAAATGGAACCCTAAATTTATGGCAACTTACATTTGCTGATAAATCCAAATTTTCACAAGTTTTAAGTATTGGTCATGCTTCTCGAGCTTCAGGTCATCGTTTCCGTGTCAATGATGTAACTTGTCACCCAGTTTTACCTTTGTTATTAACTACTTCTCATCATAATTTACCTGATCAAGAAACTCCCGTTTCACCAATGTCTCTTTATCCTCCAATAGCTCAACCACCTACAGTAAGTAGTATTGTTTTATTAAGTAAAATGAGTGTGAAACAACATATTTTTCTTCTAGGGATTTTGCAGTGAGTTAATACTTTGGCGAGTAGATGCAGTAGGACCACTTTCAAAATCTGGTGGTGTTTCAGAGCTTGCTCGTATTAATTCTCTTCAAATATCAGCATTTTCTAATGTTGCATGGATACCAACTTTATTGCCTAGGTATTTGAATTTTTAAAGTTAAAATAAAAGTATGCTTCAATCCACTGTTATATCAATAATTTCATGTTTAGCACTACTCTGGGTACATTGTCAAATTCTCCTAGTGCCTGCTTTGTAGCTTCAGATGGAGAATGTTTAAGAGTTTATCAAGCTGTTATAGATGCTAGAACATTATTAGCTGAAGTATCTAGCTCAGAACACAGAAGCCGAATGGCTGCTGTATGTGTTTACTTTACAACAAACAATGTTATATAGTACAGGCCAGTGAAATAAATAATTTTAAAATAGCTATAAAAAAACCTGTTGTTGGCCCACATAGCATTAAAAAAATATATATATTATCCTTATATTAGTAGTATAAGGTTTAATTATTGTCATTAAAACATATATTACAATATTATTCATATAAAAGTTATTTTAACTTTTTTTAAGCTACCTAGGGATTTTAGGATCTATGAATTTCAAGTTATGTTCTTTATACTCAAGTATTTAGTTATCATAAATTATTAAAATGTTCAACAGAATGTTGAAAGTGAGTGAAAATTTTATTTTATCATGTCCCATTTTCAAAGGTGCCTTGATGAGTGGTGTTTCTCCATTTTCAATGAAAAATTAGCAATATGTAGTACTTTTTCTCATATTTTTAGAGAATATAAAAAAATTTGCTAAATAATTGATTGTTGGTTTTTTAAAGTTATTTATAAATCATGTGTTTCACTTCCCTACCCTACTGTATATTTTATTGATTAAATTTATGAAAAATTTTTACTTAGGATTCCATGATGAGTTTGTCAACTGACGTTTCATCAGAAACTGAATTGAAGCATAATTCATTACATGATAGAATAAAAATTGTATCTCAACAATCTACATCTAGACCAGGGTGTATTATTCAACTTGACGCAATATCTGATGCAACTCATGTAACAAAATTCACTACTTTATATTTTACATAAAAAAAAAAAACATACATTTTTTCTTTGTTCCAGGATTGGCAAAATACTCAATTTTTACATGTATTTCAAGAACAGCTAATGACTGGAGAACGTTCAACTGGTAGAGGTTTAGTAGATGCAATAGGGACTTTAGAAAATGAAGAGCCTGATGAAGATTTTGAAGAACCATTTTATTTAGTAGTATTGGAACGCACTGTTCATGGAACAACCGTTCATATGTGGCGTTTAATAATTGCATCACAGCAAGAAAATAATTGTAAATTACTTAAATTTTAAATAACTACATTATAAAATAAATAATATTTTATCTCAATAACTATTTGTTAATTTAGCTTACTATTTTATATTTTAGCTGCTTTAAGTGAAAGTATGATGTATGTACCAGATAGTCAGTTAGTACAAGATGATGATGAAATTGATAATTCAGGAAAATTGGGTACAGCTCATTTAAGTGGCGAAGAAACTAATCACCCTACATTTTCTGCATTTGCTCCTCATGTATCTATATCAACTACAAAAGTAAAAATTTAATGAATTGTTTTGTTTTTTAAATTTTTTAAATAAATTTGTATATTGCTATCTTTAAATATTTAGATTTGTACACAAGAACTCAATTTACCAGAAGGAGTAGATGTAATTCATGCTTCACCTGCTGGTGGCCATTTAAGCTCTGCGTCTATTTATCCAGCTTGTTTTGCTCCATATGTATTTGTTACAGCATGTTCAGATAGCACAATACGTTTTTGGAAGTGTAAAATTACGAAAACTAAAAACAATGTTAGCTATCAATGGGTGGAATGGGAAATGCTTAAAAAAGATCGTAAATCTATTATCGAAATATCAGGTATTATATAATAAAACTTATGTTTTTTTTGTATTAAATTAATATATATTTATATTTTTTTAAGGCCAACCTTTAAATATTAGTGCAGCTTATAGTGGCCGTATTGCTTGTGCTTATAAATATGGTAAATCATTTACTAGACCATCGAAAAAAGATCCAGAGTCGAGATATGTAAACTTATGCGTGGCTATTTATGAATGTGAAAGTACTGGCGGATCAGAGTGGTTACTTGAAGATACTATACACATGAAAAACATTCATTTACCTAAACTGCATATAGATCCCAGTGTAGACATGACTTATCTACACGATCAAACTATATTATCATCCAAAAAACATAAATTACAGTCTACAGTGTTAAAAGCTTTATCATCAGAAGACTTGGATGGAACTAGTAGTAGAAATAATGGTAGAAATGGAGAAAATGATACAAACTTAGTCAAAAGCAGTCATGGTTATTAATTATAAAATTTAATAATTTCATAATAAAAAATAATTTAACTTTTTATTAGGTTTATTGGCAGTCCCAAGTTTTAGTACTTTACAGTCGTTAAGGAAATCTATAATTGAAAATGGAAATACATGTCCCTTAACTCAAAAACATATAGTTCAATTAGATTGGGTATCTAAAGAGGATGGTTCTCATATATTAACTGTTGCAGTTGGTAGCAAGGTATTTATACCTTTTTAAGTTGTGTATTCAGTAACAAATTTTATTTTTGAAATAATAATGAATTAAGTAGTATTTTCATTTCTTTTATTTATTTATTTAAAATTGGCAAATCCTTTTATAGTAAAAATTAAAGTATGTCATATATAGTTAACATAATGCATAATAATATGTATAAAACTGGAACAACTGCTAAATAAAATTTACACAGCATAAATAATTGTTTTATAACAGTAATAATAAACTATATTTTCTGTATTGGAATAATTTTTTAAGATGTTTGCTCATAGTTCAAATGTATCATGTAGAAAATAAATAAAGTCTGTAATAATTGTATGCATTGATAATTACATAATTACATGAAGTATACCACGAACTTGATGATTGTTTTTGAAATTTTATTTTATATAATTGAAAATATTTTTAGAAGCTCAAATTAGAGTTTTCATTTTTTTAGATCATGTTGTTTACACCAGTATCAAGTGATTTAGCACAAGCTAACATGAAAGCAATGAAAGAATCTCAATCAGTTAATCGTCCTATTTTACGTAAAGCATCTTCATTAGTTTCACCTAGTTTTGTTGATGAAATAAGGTATGTGTAAATTATTATTGTTATTATTTTTTTATACTTGAAATTACTTTTCTAATAATATTTAATTTGGTAATTCATTATCGTTTAGATGGATGAAACTGAGAAAAATTGATCTTACAACTGCTGATAGTTTACCTCCATTACCAATGCAGATGTGTTGGGTTCGTGATGGTATTTTAGTCGTTGGTATGGATAGCGAAATGCATGTATATTCACAATGGAAACCAAATTCAAGTAAGTTATTATTATTATTAAATTCAGATATAATTTTTACAAACTACTTAGATTAAAACAATTAGAAAAATTTAAAACTCATATCCTTCAGTATATAATAATTAATAAAATTAGTAATATATATATATTTATTTATGTAATTATTAGCTTATAAATCAAGAAATATATGCAACTAAAAAAAATCAAAAATTTTTATTTCAATATTAATATGTATTAATAATAAAAATTCAACATTAGTTGAGTGAGGTCACAGTACAGTATGAATGTGGCATAGTCGGGACAAGTATAGATGATATCTGACATTGATTAAAATAACTATCATAAGAAACGCTTTGATGCAAATCTGTAGACAATGTTTAATTTTAAGCAATTAGTGGATTATTCCAAAAGCAAAATGAACTCCTACGTTCTTATTTATATTCTGATTACAATTTTTGTGATATATAAGTGTAATACATGAATAAATATATAATAAATTTAAATTTATTTATTAAATATTTAATTATTTAATTATCTACTCAACTTCGACGGTCATTTGCACATAATGATAGGTTGTTGGGACATATTTTTTTTAAACTTATAGTACCTAACATAAGCATTAATTTAGCATATATTTAAAAAACACAGTATTTCCTGAACATTTTCAAAAGTTAAGTTGAAAATGTTCTAATTTTTATACGTATATTTCAATTTTTAAACACCCCCTGTATAATGGACAAAAATTTGTGTTGATCTATTTTTCAAAAATCTATAGCAATTTAAAGTTGAAAAAATAAAATATAAAATTTTAACACAAAAATAGCATGTTTTTAACTTTAGCAGAATTTGTACATAGTTGTTGGGACAAATTTGTATTTTAATTTATTGCAAGTAACATAAGATTTAGTTTAATATATTTTTAAATTCTTATTTTTTTTATTTATATCCTGATTACAATATGAAAAAATATTTAATAAATTTGTTCAATTTCGATAGACATTTGCACATAGAAAATAGATCATTGGGACAATTTTTTTTTAATTTATAGTATGTAATATAAATTTTAATTTATCATTTTTTTAAAAGACGTAATAGTTCCGAAACATTTTCAAAAGGGAAATTTTTTCAATTTTTAAGGGCAATGTCTTCAACATTCATGTCTTTATGATTTGTGATTTTTTGATGTACCGTTGAAAGAAATCGGCCCGGTGAGAGCTGAGAAAAAGTGGCGATAGACATAAAAAAAAAAAACACATCATGGTAAAATTAATTCGCATCGAAGCTAAAATACAATTTTTTCTAATAATGTTGCTCTATCTTTTAGCTATTTTCAATTTTCACTTTTTTTTAAAAAAAAAAAAATTTTAGAATTTTTGAAAAATTCTATTTATTGATGGTTTTTATTTTGATCTAATCCCATTCTTAGTTAGAAACAATTTAAAAAAAAATTTATTTGAGATATTAAGATTTTATTGGTATGTTTTTTTATAGCACCACAAATTTTGATACCATAAGTCCATGTAGGTTTAATTAAAAAGTTGCACATTATAATTTTTGTATTAAGTTTGTTTTTCATGTGAAAAGAGATGGATTAATTTTCGGTATTTATTGATAAGTATTGTGTGTTTAGTTTTAATATGGTGTCTTTATATTAAACGTCTGTTAAGAATTATTCATAATTACCTTATGGTGTATCTATTTGGGTTGTCAACGTTGTCTATTAAGATAGGTGGACAAGTATTAGGACGTAGAGTGAATGTTATTTGATTTACTTTGATTCTTTAGGTAAGATATACCGAAATTCGAGAGACTTACTGTGTTTTTGCAGTTCATTTGCCATAGTTAGATAATTTTTATTAAACAACATTACATTTTTTTTCCAATTATTTAAATAATAAATTTTGTTTTCAACTAGATACGATTTGTGATCTTTTGACATATCGTTAAAAGAAATCCGTTCGGTGAGAGCTGAGAAAAAGTGGTAACAGACACAAAAAAAAAAAAAAACACACATCATTGTAAAACCAATACCTTCTCAGCTTCGCATCGAAGCTAAAATATCATAATTCACCGATTTTAAAAATAATTATTTTTTAGTGTAATTTCACTCATTTACATGGAACAGGGGGAATATTTTCAATTTTTAGTGTAATGTCTTCAACTAGACATAATTTGCAATCTTTTGACATATCATTGAAAAAGTTTGTCCTGTGAGAGCTGAGAGAAAGTAGTGACAGACACGAAAAATAAATAGATAAATAAACACATCATAGTAAAACAATATCAGGTTATAAATATCAACAATTAATGCAGTTTTTTGCTACAAGATCTCTAAAGATAATTTTGAATTAAAAATAAATATTATTATTTTCTCTAAGCATCCAATTATAAAAATATTTAAAAATTTAAATTATCTTTGTAGTGGACTCTCAAAAAAATACAATGCCTTGTTGTAAATTGGTGCATCAAGAGTCAGATGAAATTCAAGCCACTAGAAATCTTAGGGACGAAGATCTTCGAACATTAGCACATGTATGCTTAAATAAGTCACAGTAGTCAGAAATTCAATATAATATTAATAAATTTTCTCTCCAGGAAACTTCACAGAGACGACTGGCTAATGTAAGTTCAATGCCTCATTTATCAAGAGTTAGTTCAATTAACTTAAATATGCTGACTGCCGAAACAAAGAAAAAAAAATTAGGTATTCAAAATGGTGATTCTACAAGTAATATGGATTCATATATGCCTGATTATGGCCTATTTGAAGCTAGTCGTATAGCTTGTCCTGTCCTTCCACAGTATCATCCAAAGCAACTTATGGAACTTTTAAACTCTGGTAAAATTCGATGGGTGAAAGCTATTCTTGCACATTTAGTTAGGTAATAGTAAAAAAAAATATATTTTAAATAATTACAATATAAAAAAAAAGTTTCTATTTATAGATGTATTTCAACAACATGTAGTGTTCGTCAAGGAGCTGTAATGTGTTCTTATTCAGAAGAAGATAATCTCACTAGACAACGTGGTTGGTCTCGATCAAGAACTCTATCAGTGAGCTATGCTGGGAATGGTATGAATTTTAAAAAAGGTATTATTATTTAAATCAATACTTATTTATAATGTTTAGTTACAAGCCCTTTAGAACCCAGGGGATCAACTACAGCAATTCCCGAAGAGCTAATGTTAGACTATGCTGAGATAACTTCTATTCCACCTTTGCCTTTATGGACACTTCTTGCAGCTGATAAAGAAAATGCTAGTACAGCTTTAAAGTTAGCTGAAGATGGAAAAGACTATAACGAACTTTTTAATGGAAATATTTCTACATCGGAAGATAATTTAGATGATATATTAAATGATGATGGTTCTGAATTTGAAAACCCACAAAAATGTGAACGGAGATTATCTAATGTAACAGAAAAGCAGCAATGTCTACTATCACATTTTGGTCCAAAACAAGGACAACTATTGTCACGGTTATTAACTCACACACACTTACCAGGCTTATCTAGTTTAGATCAAATGCATTTACTTGCTCTTGCTGATACTGTATCAACTTGTAATACAGATTTTGCTGATCGGTTTGTTGATAAAAATCAATTTTCTAAAGATAGTTCAGTACCACATGAAGGTGAAGTACGCTCAGGTAATTGAACACTATAAAAATTTTATTTCATGAATGGAAAATTAAAACAAATTTTTATTTTTATGTTTAAAATATGAGATTTAACTCAAAACTATTATTTTAGATTCTTTAGATGATTGTGGTCTCAGATTCCTTTTAGCAATGAAACATTATAATTACTTGTTACGATGTTTGGGCGTAGCCCAACGAACACAATTTCAAAAAAGAGGAATGTGCTCCGCAGATATTGCTTGGGCATTCCATTCTGAAAGTGAAGAAGAATTGTTACAACTAACACCGTCATATGTAAGGGGTAGCCCTCGATGGTCTGCACTTAAAGAATTAGGAGTTGGTTGGTGGCTGAGAAATCAAACATTATTACGAACTTGTATTGAAAAAGTATATTTAAATAAAAAAAAATTTTTTTTTTTGGAAATTGTAATGAAATAGTTAAATGTATTTTATGTTATTTTTTATGAAGATTGCAAAAGCTTCATATCAGTTGAACCAAGATCCACTAGATTCAGCTATATTTTATCTTGCTATGAAAAAGAAATCTTTAGTTTGGGGTTTGTTCCGATCTAAACGTGATGAGCGCATGACTCAATTTTTCTCAAATAACTTTTCTGAAGATCGGTGGAGAAAAGCTGCATTAAAAAATGCATTCGCCCTTCTTGGTAAGCAGCGATTTGAACATGCAGCTGCATTTTTTCTTTTAGCTGGAGCTCTAAGAGATGCTATTGAGGTTTGTAAAACAAAAGTTATCTTATAAAATGTATAAAATAATAGTTCATTTTAATCAAATATTTTTCTTTAGGTATGTTTAAATAAATTAGATGATTTACAATTAGCGATGGTCATAGCTCGCTTATATGAAGGAGAAATAGATGCTACACCTCCTAGCTTAAAACGTCTTTTATATGAGGTAAGTCAAATAGAAAAATAAAGCATTATAAAATAAAGAATTGTTGTTTTTCAAATTAATAAACTAATTATATTATGAAGGAAATTCTCGGTTGTGATCGAAATGGTGAAAATCAAAGATTATCTATGGCCAATCCTGATCCATTTTTACGGTCAATGGCATTATGGATCCTTAAAGATTTTACAGGAAGTCTTAATACTTTGGTTCAAACCAATGTTGGCACTATGCACCCATTATATAATGATGAAGAAAAACAAGAAACATCAGCAGGTATCTTGTTAATTCTTTTATACATTTATATACACTAATAATAATACTTTATTTATATTGAAATTTTTAGCCAATCCTAATGTATTCAATTTTTATGTTTATCTTCGAACTCATCCATTATTAATAAGGCATTACTTAGCATCTACATATCAAGATAAAAAGAACCATACAGTTGTTTTATCTGGTTTTAGCTATGGATCTGATGTTAGATGTAACGAAACATCAGATAGACAAGTAACTATTATTTTAACAGACTTTTTTTTAAATAAATATAAATATACTTGTAATAAATTTATAGTTAATGTTGGAAGATTCAATATCTCCACTGGAGAGACAGTTATATTTCAAAACAGCCCATGCTCATTTTAAAGCTGGTTGTCCAGCTTTAGCTTTGGAGGTGTTATCAAAATTACCAAGTAAAATTATGGATCCATCTACTGAATCTAATAGTAAGTTTTTTAGATTTAATTTATAGCTGAGAAGATATTAATTTTATTACAATGTGCATTATTTTTTTTTTTGTGTCTGTCATTTCTTATGCTTAGCTCTTATTGGACAAATTTTGATCATATTTACATTAAAAGAACCCGAATCAAATTTAGTTGAAAACATTAATCTCAAAAATATAATAATAATAACCCTCAATTTTTTATAAACAAAAATATCTTAAAATATTTTGAATACGATCAATTTGATTTGATTTTAGATAAAATAGATCAATTGAAAATTTTGATGGGTAATATAATCAATAATTTATAATCAATAACCTTCTATTTTACTTTTCTTTTTTTTTTTTGTAAATCCGATAAAAAAATATGAGTACAAGAAAAATTGAAACATAGTAAAAAAATTTTCTGACTAAAAAAGTGACAAACAATTTTACATATAATCTATATTATATTAAAGTTTTTGAAATGTATTTTATGATTAAAAGATATTTTTGAAAAAAAACTGTAAAATTTAAAGATATTTCAAACAAATACTTTTGTGTTAAATTATTTTATGATAATGATAATAGTTACCATCAAATGTCAACCTATGCATGTTCCAACTTTTTTTTTTACAACCGTTAGGTTACATAATGGCAATTGGATTGGTATATCCTAGAAAAATTTTAAGTGCAGTGTTTTCCAGTTGCCTTCTGCACTGGTAATATGGTATTTTTTACACAAGCATAAAAGCGCACCTATCCATTCTCCTATGACAGTAGGTGCCGCTTAACACTAAAGTTTTGTCAACAATTAGTGTTACCACTGTGCAACGCCGTGCCCTTTGTGTTCCAACTATGTTGGGTTTATTATATAACAAGGCTTATAGTATTTATAAACAATTAAAATAAAATTATAATAAAAATAATTTAAATATATTTCCCCATTAAATTTCCATTGTACATTATATTCCTTTTTTTAAATCAAAATATCAATTAATTTTTAACCTTAATAAAGTATTAAAATGCTTAAGCTTAATCATTAATTAAATTTAACATAAAATGAGATTACAAATACCTAAGATTGATAGTTAAATTTTTATATTATTGAAGAATATGTTTGTATTAAATTTTTATTTAAATTAAATTTATAATTTTATAATTTAGGCTTTTATATTTAATCTATGCATAAATTTTTAAAAGTCGGCACGCTTTCGTTTTCAATAGGTAAATTTGTTTCAACTTCATCATTATATAAAATGCCATTTCTAAACAGTTCTTCTGCAATAAAATATTCCCGATTTTCGTTTAATTTATTTTTTGCATTTTCTGAAATAATCATTAATTAAAGTATTATTTAATAGAAAATAAAATTACTTTTATGCTATTATTTGTACCTGTTAGTTCATTCATTGATTGTCCTAGACCTCCATAATCTTTTGATAAAATATGTTGAGGTAATGACTTTAAAAATTCTTTTGTTTTAAAAACTGATTTCATAATTACCTTAAATAAATTTTTTGATAGATGTATTAAAAAATATTTATGATATTATTTACTAACTTACTTTATCTATTAACGATTTGTGCATAAACGGTTTTGCTAATGTGTAAATTTTTTCTATACCTGGTGTTACATTTATTACATATATTTTATCAATCACAAATGGTATTGCATTCTTAAGCGATCGAAAAAAAAAATTATTTTAGCTTAACTTATTTTTTTTTTTTAATGAGGTTGATAAAATATTACTTGAATATAAATCATCATATTTCTAACATTATTAATGGAGAAACGCATTGCATGACTAAATCCTACATCAGTAGAATCAATTATTACTCTATAACCTGGCGCAGTACCATTTTCAATCTGTTCAAGTTCGATGGCCATATGCATCAACTTAACTGCAGTACTCGGATAATATTTTGAAGCATCTTTAATTTTCAAACTCGTCCAAAAGTAATTGAAGCCATCATTTTCATCTTTGATTAAATGCATATGACTGAAACATTTGATATGATAAGATTAAATTATTTAAATTTAAAATATTCCAACTTAACTTACATTACATCTAATTGTTTTAGATTATGTTTATAAAAAGGATCCCTCCCTCTAAACGTAATAGCGCATTTTGTAGCTCGTAGTGTAAAATATTCTCTGATGATTTTTTTTGTATATTCTTTGTTGTAATTGCAAGCATGCAAGAATATAATTATTTGAATATCTGTGAAAAACATTGAAAATTATAAAAAAAAAAAATAATTAAAACAGTAAATTTCTTCCTGAGTATTGCCCTTACAAAATATTCCATTTTAAAAAAATAGCAACGTATCCTAAATTTTTTAAATAGCCTTGAAATACAAATCGATTTTATAAATTAATACGTGTAAAAATAATCTCAAAATATTTTCCAGATTTGTTAATTTTCATTTCAATCTTTGTGACTCAGGTGTTTTTACTAATATTTTTTAAATCTTTTAACATTTGACCACGCCAGTTTTAGATATTATATACTCAATCATTATGGTCTAAAAATCGCAAATGGTTACATAAGCGAATAAAGCTAGCAAAATTAATAAACTAATATTCTATTAGACATAAATTGTACTATAAATTATTATAGAATTATTTAGGGGTTGATAAAATAATCAGCAAAATATTGTAGACGGCACCAGCCCGGGCATGACCATTAGAGTGGGGCAAATAAACAAATTTCATCCTAGTGTACACTTATACGGGATTTCGAGAGAAAACTAAAAAAGGTCATTCAAACTATTAAGTTATATCAATATTGAGGTTAAAGTCATTCTTTATAATATAAAATATAATTTAATTTAACTGTAAAAATATTAAATTTTAAATATAATTTAGAATACAGATACGTAAATCGAAAATACTAGTTTTAAAATATTAAATACCTTTAATGTTTAACATTTTTAATATAATGTGTTTTATTTGTATGCCTGTCTATGAAAATTTTCAGCTCTAAATGGACAGATTTTGTCGGTTTATGCGTCAAAAGAAACCGATTTTAATCTAAATAAGCATATCGGTTGACAATTAAAAATAAACTCTTAATTTTTGAAATTTAAAAATTATCTCAAAATTATCCTACCGTAAAAAATGAGATTTTAAAAACATTTTTCTGCATTTTAAAACTACAACAACTATATTGAAAAAAAAAATGATCGTAATGAAATTTCTATTTAATATACTTAAAATAATATACTTTTCGATAAGTATATTCGTATAGTATATAAGTATATAAGTATAGTAAAAATTCGATAAAAAATCTAAGTATAGGAATAGTGTGAAGAAACTATACACGCATATAATTTTTTTCAGCTCAAATTTTAAACATATTCCGGAAGTCTGATTATTTTTAACCTTTATAAAATTAAAGCTTTTAAAGTTTATTAAATTATAAAAAAAAAAAAAAAATTCATTAAATAATCTAAATTTTTTAAACTTTTTATTTTTATTTATAAAATATGATCACTATTTTTTAATAAAGTAACCAAAAATGTTTTAATTTAATGTAGATGAGGCGAGGTTGGAAAATATATATGGCCTTGCCCAGTCATAATAATGTATATTATTATTCGAGTATAATTAACAAAATATAATTTTTGTCAGAAAAAAAATTATAATAATTGTAGTAAACCCATCATAAAAATATTAAAAACTCTGAACAGGTGAAAATATATTTATTTCTAATTTATAGATAAAGAATATTAAAAACAATTCATTATTAAAGTATTTGTTATATTTTTAGAATAAATTTAATAATGATTTCCTGTAAAAAAAAAATCAAAAATATTATTCCTATTATACCTAGTTAATTTTTAAAAAAAAATTTTAGTTAACTTATAGAAAAATTAGAGTAGGAATTTCTTAAAATTACTTCTTATTTAATATTTAATCAACTCTTTACTTACCCATAAAATTTCCAAAAACTTTAATATTATCTTGAGCCCATTCAAGTAGCTCTTTTACATCATTTTCTATGAGTTTTGGATTTTTAAGGTATTCTTCGTTTGCTGTAACTTTATAAAATTTCGATAAATTTTCCATATTCATTTTTTAGTATTTTCCAAAATTGAATTATTACAGTAAAATAACAATATAGCGTTTTTTTGAACGAATAATATATTATTTCAATATTAGACTGTAAATACAAACCAATTAAAAGAGAAAATAGTTACTACAACATACTATGCGACCTCCTATTATATTATTATTTTTATGAGTTAACCCATTTCGTGTCTTCGTATAGCATTCAGTTGTGACCTTGAATAAAACAAGTCTTACTTATCTGGCGTGTATGTGTAGTAGTAGGCAGGTATATATTTAATTTATATTTATTTATGTTATACCCCCAACATTAGAATTATTAATTTCTTCTTCAAATTTTAAAATTGAGTGTTTCTAATTTCTGAAAAGTAAAAATTTATTTATAAAGTTATCTATGTTTTTAGATAATTAAGTTATCCGTAAAATTACGAATTGATTTAAAAATTCTCACTTTTATTTAATAAGATTAAGAAAAGGTGGTCTACAGGGTCATTATTTTTCGAAGATAGTTTCCAGGACAAGTTAGTGAAATATATTATCTAGAAAATTGATATTTAAAAAATATGATTTTCTGGCGCTTTTAAATAAAAAAAAAATCATAAAAATTACATTTATAAATAAATATATCCCTTATATTAAGGTATATTATATATCCTCTACAGTGTAGAGTCTACACTGAGAATATTTATCTAAATTAAACAATCAATATCATTATAAATTATAAATATGATAATTTATAATGATATTGATAAATCTTTATTTGAAATTTTGATATGTAGTAATTTTCAAAATAATTTAATATTTTCCAATTCTGTATTAAAAATTATATAAAGTAATTTTTTTATAATAATTACATAAAATTCGTTAAAGAAACTTAACATTAAGTGATCGTTTTGGAAATAAAAAAGAGATAGGAACTTGATTAGTATATTTCAAAAACACCTTAATTTTTTTCTTTATTTTATTCTGAATATTTTTTGCAATGATTACAAGTATACTAGTACACCTTGATTATATATTAAAAAAAAATCAGGTTTTCCTTTAAAATAAATGTAAAAAGTACAATGTATAAATTAAATTTTACCCTTCTTTTAGACACCATATTTATATATTTATTTTTTTTTACTCAGATATTTATGTATTATGTATAATACACAGGGTGTTTGATTTACTATTGACCACTTCTAGATTACTTCTAAAATAATAATTTTAATACATATATATATATATTTTTTTCTTTGTTAAGTAGTACTTATTTCTGAAATTATAAAAAGTTAAACATTTTTTAGACCAATCTCTTATCCCTTGTAAGAAGAGCTGTGAATAATATGCATTTATAAATTTTGTGCGTTTTATTTCTGAGTTACTTCTACGAAGTTGCACTAAATTGAGACCCTCCAAAGTGACTCTGACGAAATTTATAAATATACATAATTAACAGCCCTGTTTATAAGGATAACAACTATATTTATTTTAATAACAACATACACATTTCACTAGATTAAATGTTAAAATAATACAATGTTAAAAAAATGACACAATGATAACAACTTAAGAACTAGTATCTTGTATGTATTTACATGTTAAAATATAAATTTATTATGATATGCAGATTGTTATTTTTATAATACGTAACAATTCTTCATCCTTCCATCAAATTTACGCTAAACATTTTTTTTATCATTAAACTGATATTTATTACTACTAGTAAATAATGTTTAGCACTTGGTTTCTTTATGATCCATTTTAAATATCTTCCTTTTATAGATAAATATTACAGCTAATTATTGGTAGTTATAATATGGCGGATTCATATTTCGAAAATCATTATCAACACTAAACACTTACGCCATTTTTTAGTAATTTTTTTGTGATTTTTTGAGTTTTAAATTAATAATGTTTTTAATATAATTTTAACTCTAAAAAATAATAATTACCTCAAAAGTTATAAGCATTGTCAGTTAGGTATAAGACTGTATATATATCAAAAGATGTATTGTTTTTTATATTGCTTCTTTTAATGTCCAGACGTTTCTCTTTTCAAATCCTCTAATGTACCATATAAATACAGAGTGATATCTATATAAGTAGTAATACAAACAGAAAAAAATTAATAAGGTATCCCTAATTAATTGGCCTAATATTAAAAAAAAATAATTTTAAATTTTAGCTTCGACGCGAAGTATTAAAGGTATTTATTGTGTCTATTATTAGAGATATAAACAAAAAAATTGTTGTTTTTTCAGGTTTTTTCCGTTTTTTAATCAAATCTTATTAAATAGTTTCTTTAATCCTTTAAATTTTCTTATAATTTAGTTAATTAATGACTTAAAATAAATCATATCAAAATAAGTGTTAAATAAACTCATCATGGTAAAATAAAATACCAATCATAAAAACAATGCATATGAATATTACATTTCTTGAGGATAAGCCCTCCCTAGCCTTATCATTCAGTCCGTGATGATGTATTGTAGCAATAACTTCTTATATAATATAATTTAACAAATATTGGCACTAAAGTTAATAAAATTAAACTTTATATGCGTTTTTCAAAAAGACATTATTTGTTAACACAAAAAAAACTAATAAAATAGTTTTTTATTGAGTTAGAAAACGGTTTTTTAAATTTCCTTCTGTTATCACTTCCTTAGCACTTAATTTTGTTCCATAATACGTAAAATATGACAAATTTATATCTAGTTGAAGGCATTACTCAGTAGCTCAGCTAAATCTACTAAAATATTTCAGAAATATTATTTTTTTTCAACATGTATTTAATTAAAGTTTATAAGAATAAAAAATAAAGTAATAGGATCTACTAAGTGGCATTAGCATAAGGTGGTTGAAGGATCTTTTTAGTAAAATCCTGTTAAAAGGGAAAATGCCAAAAGAATGAAGGAATAGTATTATGGTATCGATATTTAAAGGCAAAGGAAACATACAGAAGTGTGGAAATTATACCTCTATAATTATAGAAATTATAGAGGTATAAAGCTTATGAGTCATAGTATGACAATTTGGGAAAAAGTAATAGATAAGAGAATAAGAAATGAACATCGGTATCTAAAAACCAGTTTGGATTTATACCTGGTAAGCCAACAAAGGGTTTAAGAATAAGTAGGAGTAGGACAGACTATATAGAGTACGAGCTTGACAAAGGAGAACATGAAGTATGTAAAATTAGGAGATCAGTGACAATAAGCGAGAACATGATAGGAGAGGTGGAAAGTTTTAAATATTTAGGGTCAGTTGTGCAAAAGAGTGGTGGTATTGACGAGGATGTAAGACACAGAAATAAGTGCGGGTGGTTGAAGTGGAGAGAAGCGTCTGGCGTCTTATGCGATAAAATAATTCCAATAAGGCTGAAAGCTCTGAATGGTTTAAAGTGTTGGACAGTGGATAAGAGAATAGAGCAGAGAATGAGTGTAGCAAAGATGAGAATGCTTAGGATGAGTGGAGTGATTAGAAAAAATAGGATAAAGAACGAACCTAATAGAGGGAGTATAGGTGTAGCGTCAATAGTGGATAAGATAAGAAAAATAGACATTGATGGTCTGTGGTCATATTATGAGGAGAAAGGAATAGAAAGCTGTACATAATAAACTAAGAATTAAAAAAAATTATTCTGGTGATTTGTCTTATAAGTGTCAACTATCCCTTAAAATAAGGTCATATTTTAAACTAAAGAACGCAGTTTTTTTTATATTATCATTGAGTATAGTTAGTACTATTTATACTTATTCTTTTCTACCTCAATAATATTATACTCCTGTTAGGACTCATAACATACGTCCTATAAAGTATACCTATTTTTTGAACTTATTTCCTTCCATAAATATTCAGATATGTTCTGTATTTTGCGATATAAATTATATTTTTTAAGTACCAACTATTTTATTCTACTGTATTCTTTAGTGATATTCTTACAACTAATAAATCAATCATTTTTCGTTTTCATTACAGGTTCAGTCACTACTCCAACTCGTAATCGTGATGTGTGCATAGATACTGGTATATTAAGTTGGGAAACTGAACAAAACAATCCTACCGAATGTGTGAATTTAAATGTGTCCTTAAGAAATCCAGTCACATCAGATGAAATAGATGATGAATTAGTATTAGATTGGAGTGATAAAGAAGAGAAGTTAGAGGAAAATGAAGGGACTTCTGTGGATAAATCACAACAAATTATTAAACAAGAATCAGTTGAAACCGAAAAGTCAAAATCTTATACAAAAGCATGCAATTTAGATGTTATGGCTCAGCAGCTCAAGTTTGTTGCTTGCTTAAAGATTTTAATGGAAGAGTTATCTACATTAGCTACTGGTTATGAAGTAGATGGTGGAGAATTACGATACCATTTATATTTATGGCTCGAAAGAGAAGTGGATGCATTGAGACATTTATGTAACTACAGTTCAAAAGATTCTTTGATTGTACAATGTGAGTTATTTTTTTTAACAAATTTATTATTCTTATATTTTAAATTTATTTTAGAGTAAAAGAAAGTTTTAATGCACAAAATATCATGAGTTTAATTTTGATAAAATTAGTCATTCTCGTTATTATTAAATTATATGTATCTCACTGTTCTTTAAGTTTTTTTAATTGTTACTATCATTGTAATACTTAATGTTGAAAATATTTTAAAAATAATGTTATGTAGTTTGTTAAAAAACTATTTCTTATGTTTAATTTTAAATGAAATCAAATTATTAAAAATGTATTGATATCAATGTAATTATTTTATATAAATTTGCTCCTTAAACTAATTAAGTTATGATTTATTTAGATGAAGGAGGCCTTGAAACTTCAGTATTAGACAACCGAGAGTACTCAGCTACACCTACTTTAAAAAATTCATCTGAAAAACCAACTTTACATGACATTCTATTGGCTGAGAAGATAGATTTCGAAGCAAAGGTTGCAAGAGCTGCTAGAAGAAGAAAATGGCTTAAAGGTTCATATCAAATAATGTTTTAAATTTATATGACCTCTTAATTATAATTTTCTTTTTTCATATTTAAATTTCTTACAGAAAATGAAACTCTCTTAAGAACACTTTTAAGTTATTGTAGTTTACATGGTGCTAGTGGGGGTGGATTAGCATCAGTACGTATGGAATTAGTTCTTTTATTGCAAGAATTACAGCAAGAAAAAACACAACAACAACTTTTGTCTCCATTACCTTTCCCAACTACACTGCCTCTATTATCAGCTAGTGTAGCTTGTAATAAAACAGTAATAGCTGATCCAGTTCGATATCTTCAGGTATGATTAAAAAAATATATATTTTTTCAATAAATTAAAATTGTATATATTTTTAGGCTCAAGCACATGACATGCTCCAAACAGTTATAGATATTCGCAATCCTCCTCTATTAACACGTATTGACTTGAGTGAGCTATTTGTGTTACGAGATTTATCTGTTGCTTTGTCAGCTTGTATTTATCAATCACTTTGTGATAGTGATACAATAGCAGAAAGTTATCAGCCTGGAGCAGAGAATCCTACTTATTGTAGTCATCTCATTGCTGCCAAAAATAGAAAACGTCGATATAGTGTAGATGAACCAATCAAAGTTACAACATCACCTTCTAAATGGCCTGGAGTGTCGAGTTTAAGAGCATTATTAGCTCATGAAAAAGATGAAGATTCACCCAAACTAAATATTTTGCTGTGTGAAGCTTTTGTTGCAACCTACATGGGTTTATTAGTATACGCATTTGCTACTTGTGATTGTCATATATTATATAGACTTGTAGGTCAGAAGTTTTCTGAAACTACTTGGAGTGTACTATTTGGTGGAGGAGTAAAAAAATTATTAAAAGTGGCACCAACTGCTCCAAAAAGTTGTGTAAGATTGATTTTGATTCTATTGTATTAAAATATTATTTTAATTTATATATTTTATTATTATTATTATAAAAAAATAATCATGTAAAACTGAATAATTTTTATTATTATCTTATATTCAGCCTTCGAGTTTAGAACGAGAAAATAGTACGAGCAGTGAAGTTGGTGTATGGACGGCTATGACAAGTTTAACAAAACAAAAAGTACGTCTAAATATGAAACTTCTTGGCCAATTTGTTGGCTCACCTGGTACACCTAATATAAAAGAAGATAAACCAACATATAGAGAACATTTTGTATCGCCTGAAATGTCAATGATTTCTTATTTTTTAAACAAAGTATTAGTTTTAATATTTCTTATTATTGTTTAAAATAAAAAAAATTTAACTATAAACTTTTTTAGCCTAATTTAGCATCTGAAGTTCAAGATGTTGACTATGATTCTGCAGATAGTGCTGTATCTGATTTATCTGAGGATGAAGATGAAGATGGTGATGTTTTTGATAGTGGACAAGATACTAAAAGTAAAACTGAAAAGGCAGAGAATACTGAACATTCAAATCCTTATAGTTATGCATGGATGGTAATGAGATTAGCTATTATGCAACTTCTCCAAGAACAATTACATGCATTCCTCACAGTAGCAGCCATTGATCTTCAAGGTATTTAATAAAAAATGTTGACTAGTTCATTAAATACTAATAATGTTCATTCCATTTAGAATTACCTGTCAGTAGTCCACTAATTCATGGTATTTTGAGGGTAGTAAGTCAATGGCAAGATATTTTGAAAGAAGAATTAGAATCAAAAGGACCTCCTCCTATTGATTATATACCAGGTTGTTACATTGAACAAGCAACTACTGGACCTCCAATTAATAAATATAGAACTTTACTGGATAAAACAAATACTCCTTTCCAGTAATAAAAAAATCAATAACCATAAATAATTTTAGATTCCTAATATTCTTGGTTAAACTTGTTTAGTCCTAAGCATTGGTCTGCTGCACCAGCCCGACGTTTATGGAATTATTTAGTACGTCAAGAACTTATTCAAGACTTATTTATTAGAAGTATATTTAGCCGTCAACCTCGTGCTGCTGGAAATTCTACTTTAACAAGTCTAGAAGTAAAATCTTGTTCTGGTAGTGAAACACCTAATCAAAATTTACCAGATCCTGTAAGAATAATTCATAAAGAACAAGATTCAATATCAGCTTTCTGTTTAAATTTGGTTTGTATAATTATTAATATTTAAGAGATTATTTTGATTGAAATTTTATTTTACTTTTTAAAATAAATTTAGGCTAATAGTAGCCTGCTTGCATTAGCTACACCTCGTGAAATTCAAGAAATGGATATCTCTTTACTTCTTGAATCTCCCTCTTGGTTAGAAGATGAGTGCGAATTTGATCTTGTAAATTTATCCAGGTAATTTTTTTTTTTTTTTTGTTGATTTTATAAAAAAAATAAGAATAATTAACTATATGTATGTATATATATGTTTACAATGGCAAAAATAATAATTATTATAGTTAATCATTTTAATGGATAACTGCAACAGTGAATAAAATTTATAAAACTAGTACAGTGAGGTGTGACACATAATTTCATTTTATTTTGAGTTTTAACTATTTTAGATCAACTATTTTAACATAGACAAACATTCTGAATCTTAAAAAAACACAGCATAGTGGAAACATAGCATAGTTAGGTCCAGTGTATATAGTGTAGTGATAATATCTGACAGCGATTAAAATCACTATCATAAAAAACGCTTTGATGAAAATCTGTACATAATGTTTAATTTTAAAAAATTGGTGGATTATTCCAAAAGCAACATAATCTCCTATTTTCTTATTTATATCCTGATTACAAGTTTTATGATTTATAAGTATAATATATGAATAAATATTTATAAGAGAAATTAAATTATAGTATGATATTTAATAATTTAATATTGTAATTTTTTACAAAAATCATATTTTTAATTATCAATTTTTCATAATGAAAACAATGACGTCCAAATTTTTTTTTTCATATTTATGTATATTACATAAGTTTAATTTAATTTAATATATATATATATATATAAAAGTGTCAGTATTTCCGGAACACTTTAAAAAGTTAAGTTAATTTTTTGTAAAAAAAAGTTGTCATTTTGAAACGCCCTTGTGAGCAGGTAAAGGGTCAAATTTATAAAAAAAATATATATATACAAAATGATAGGTAAATATTCATAAATCTATAAAAAAAAAAAAATTATATTGATTTGGTAATTTTTAAAAAAAGTTATAGGAGTTTTAGGTCGAAAAAATAAGCGATTTTAAAATTGTAATTTTTTTGGAGATTTCCCCCATTTACAGGGAAATTTTTTTAGGGTAATATCTTCAACTAAATACAACTTGTGATCTTTTGACTTATTATTAAAAGAAATCGGTTCAGTGAGAGCTGAGAAAAAGTGGTAACACACACAAAAAATAAAAAAAACACACAGTAAAATGCAAAATTTTTTAATCTAATTTTTAACATTGTATAATTGATATAATTTGTATATAATATATTGTAGACTATGTTTAAAAAAAAATATGTATGTAGTACAGTATGATATAAAATACCACAAAACATCTTATTATAACAAAAAATATTTATGAAAAAAAATATATTTTAATGGTTTTTACAGAGGCATTGTGAATCTAAAATTGGTATTATTATTATTTTAAAAGATTTATAATATTAAAAATGACCTGCAATATCTCACACCTGATCATATTATAACCGTGTTATTGAATTTACCAGTTAGAGTTTAAAATATAATAATTTAATGATTTTAATATTTAAAATAACTAATAATAGAGATCAAGAACATCAGCCATCAAGCTTTTTAGTAATTCAAACATCAGTTGATCGCCCGCTTCAAACATCTCCTGGCACAACTGTTATTGTTAATCCAGTACCAAATAGTCCAAATGTGACTGGTCTTGCTAGCCAAACAGGACGTGGTGCATCAGTGGTAAGTTTTAAATGTTTTGGTCATATAGAAATAAAATATTAAGAGTGTAAAAAGTTAAAAAAAATTGGGTTAAAAAAACTGTATTTGTGAATACAAAAGTGTTATGTGCTGTACGTCTTTGTTTTGTTTTCTATGTGAAAAGGTACAGCAAAAGGGCACACAAAGTTACAGCGATGGAGGACCAAGAGTATTTAAAAGCTCAAAAAATATTATGTCGGTAAGAGGTCATAAATTTTTGCGAGCGTGGGCTTAATCTATTATGTGTTATGTTTTCTTCAGTGTAAAATATTTCTAACTATAATAAAAGTTTCGATAGTTGAATGTTTCATATAACTTTAGGTATCAATAAAGCTTTGTAATATTTTAGCTTATAAGATCTTAAGAGCTTTCAAAATTTTATACATTTTGTAATTTTACCTAAAACTATTAATATAGACTTGACATAAGTAGTTAATTTTTCTAACTCTAACCTTGAATATTTTTCATAAACCTTATCTCGATAATTTTATAATATTTATATTTAACACTTAAGCATCTATATACAAAACTTTCCTAATACACTGTGTATATAAATTAATATTTTAATATTTTAAGGTATGCCTAATATATTATTTTTATAACAGATTTTTATTTCAATTGTGTTATTATATTTATTATTATTCACTATTTAAATGCCAAATGCTTAAACAACAAACATAATTTTTTAACTGATTTGTTTTTAATAATTTATAATTATTATGTCACATTGCTATCAGATGAAGGGACTGAATTTCCCTGGTTGTCATGATCCCCGTTTCTGTCAGTTTGTCTGTGACCGCAGTCGCCTCCTACTCAGACCGGTGCGTTAGAATAAGAATTAAATTCAAATATAAAACTGAGTGTTTCTCTTTTGTTGTAGAGTAACTTAATAACTACAAAATTAATTTCTTACACGTATTTATATATATTAATTTTTTTTTTTGGTTTTAATGTTATTTTTTTATTTTAGTACATTTTTATTTTTGTAGTGAGTTACAAATAATTAAAATTTGATATGTTAGCTAAACTTGTTTGTGATATTTATGATTTGTACATACACCATGCTGTAAAAATGCATTAACCTTATGGTACATTTATAAAACTCATGTTATTTACTAATTTTTTATTTTAGGTTATGAAACATCGTATTGATAACATACGAAGGATATGTCCTCACCCATTACTACCAGTTTGTAAGTATACCTATAGCATTATATTCATAAATTATGAATAAACTTATAATTGAATTTGGTTTAGATTTGACGGGCTCACAAGATGGTTCAGTACACATATGGGAATGGGGTCATCCTCAAACTGTTGCTGAACCACGAGCTGCTGGTACTTTTGCTAAAGTCACTAGAGTACGATTTTCTCAACATGGCAATAAATTTGGTGTAGCAGATGGTGATGGAAATCTATCATTATTTAATGTTGGTCTCACTTCTTCAAATTATCGACCTTTTTATGTTAGTAATATAAAATTATATTAAGTTTTTTATTAAAATCATAAATATATTTTTACATGTTTTTTTAGACATTCCAATGCCATAGTAAAGTTACTAGCGATTTTGTATTCCTTGGCTCATGTAGTTTAATTGCTACTACGGGACATTCCTCTGAAAATAGAAATGTTGCTTTATGGGATACATTACTTCCACATAAAAAATCATTAGTCACAGGTATATTTATGCATATTTTCTTTAAAAATTATCAAGTAGTTTATTGGAGGTAAAATTTTAAGAACAAAAATTTGTAGAACTTCTTATTTCTTTTTATGATAAATATTAACCACTAATTATAATCACACAAATGAGTGGTTTTAATATTAATGAAAAATGTAATAAGTTATATTATTGACAAAGCATTGAGTTAATTTGTTAACATATAGGGTAAAGTTTAGGTATTAAGAAAAATACCTAAGTTTCAGTTAGTAAATTGATTAAGTTATATAAATTGAATTTTTTTCACTAGATTTTACAAGTCAAAAATTGTATTTGAATTCCAATTATGCCTATAGAATTTATGCAAAGTTCAATATATATATATATTAACAAAAGAGTTAAAATGTTTTTAAATATACAGTTATTTGCATATTTATTTTTCAATAAAAACCAATGTGTTTTTAATATGATATTTATTAACTTTCTTTTTAACTTAATTAAATTATTTAAAAGTTAAAATAAAGTTAACATATCAAAAAAGTCACTTGTTATTCTTTTGAGAGACCAAAATTAATTTGAACGTTTTATGTTAATAGCTAGTCATAATATTTTTGTTTATATAATACTTGAACGGATTTTAATTTTTTTAATAAAATTCATTATTAAAAATATTTTTTAGCATTTATGTGCCATGAACAAGGTTCAACATGTATAGGATTTGCTCCACAACATCAAGTTATTGTAACTGGTGGACGTAAAGGAGATATATGTATATTTGATGTTCGTGGTGGTAGTGGTTCTATTAAACACCGCTACCAAGGACATGATTCCAGTTTAAAATGTATGACAATTAATCCTCATGAACAATTTTATTGTACTGGAGCAGCTGATGGTGACATCAAAGTTAGTGTATACTTATGGTATTTTTAACATCTAAAAATTCTAAAGTCAATAAAAGTTTATTTTAATTAATTTAGACTAATTTTCCATATAATACTGTTTGTTTATATTGGTTTGTGTATTTCACATAATTTAGTCTAAATTTTAGGGCTTTGTAATTTTTTCATGAGTGTAACTAGTTTAACATTTCTGAAGTATCTAAAAAGAATCAATTTCACAGGCACATATTCTACTTATTCAAATATAAATTTATTAATTTCAAATTAAATGATTTGATAATTAAATTTTTAACAACAATAATTTTAATAAACAATTGATTTTGTTTATATTTCTGTTTAAAAATGGCAACAATGATTGTTGTTAAATTTTTAATAATATCTTTTAATGTTATCCACGTCTCACCTCCAGCCATCACTATAAAATGTTAAT